GTGAATTCGTAGTTACTCCTCATAAGGAGGTAAAGCACCGCACACGCCTCATGACGCAAGTTGGTCAGCTTGCTGTTGCAGCACTTCAGCATCTCGAAGCAGAGGGATCCACAAAGAGACGCATCACCTGATGTGAATGAGATTGTAACAGTGATTTTGATTTTCTCTCTCTCATTCTTGTTATGTGTCCTTTTGCAGCCATATGCCTGACTTTCATTATCATTGGTTTATATATAATTTATAACAATCTATAATTATTGATGCTCTATATGTCTTACTCACTTTGTCAAAATTATTTATGTATGTGTGTAAAACTATTTAGTTTTTTACCTAACAGCTTAGCTGCAAATGTGTACTGTTACATTCTGGAGTACATATATAGATATAAACTTGAACTTATGGGGCTAAATAGCATATATTACATATATTTTTACAGACTTTGATATCAAAGTCATACAAAAGACTACTTAAGAATACCAACAATCCTTTCAATACTAAAACTCAAGTTAAAGAACTCAAGGAACAAAGGAAAATAAACATGAAGTGCACTCATGAAATTTAAGCTGATTGATCTGAAGAACTGAAAGTACAAAATGGAAGACAGCCACAGTAATACAGCAAACATTAAAACCAAATAGGTAAATTTCATCCTTTTTTTGTATACTGTCTAAAGAAGATTCCAGTTCAATACAAAACATCATGGATTCTGTGCTTCTCTTGTCACCTGGGCTGCATTCCTTCCCCTCTTCCTCCCTTACATTACAGTGCTCAAACTTCATCTAATACATACACTTAATAAACATTCTCTTACCTTGGAAAAGTGTCCGCGGGAAATTATTGATGAAGGCTCTGAGAGAGGCAAACACATGCTTCATCAGGGTTTCTGACTGGCCTAGCTGCAAATACAGCAGATGCAAAGAGAACACCTGTTGCATGATGGCCTCAGCCCCATCAGAAGTCAGAATGTCACGGCAGTGTGTGGTAAAGTTGCCAAGCACATCCAGGATAATGAGGCCCACTTCTGTTGCCAGGTTGGCCTCCTGTAGTGCTTTAAGCCACCCCTCACCCTCATGGCTGCTCACTGAAATAGAAAAAGGAGGAAAAATATGATACCTACTTAGTGGTATTAAGCCATTGGCACCAGGTAATCGCATTATCTACATCAGTTTTGCTTTGTGAATTGGGTTTATGCACAGATAACTACAAATGTGCTTGTGCATCAAATCAATTAGCAGTAAAATAAACTTTTTTTTTTTCTTAATCAAGGAACACAGTAAATAGATGACATCAAGTATGACTGGTAAATAAGATCTTGTGGAGCCATCAAAGTGTAAACAAAATGAATAAACTAAAATTACAGTGGATATGGCATGTGTGTACAGGCATCACTAAGTTAAATAGTGAAAAAGAAAAACTGACAAAAAACCTAAATGTATTTACATATTATTACTTGTTAACAAATACTTACTTATTCTAAGATGTATCATCATATAAATCAATTCTCAAACAGTTTGATTATTGCCAATACCAGTATCTTTTATTAGGTTAAACCCTCTTACCACTATAGCTGTCAGTTGCAGTCGACACCCTATGGCCTATGTTTGGAGGCTGGAACTTCGCTGGTAGCGTTGAGGCCCTCTTTGGGGCTTGCTCTCGCACAATTTGTCTTTTGCCACTATATTTGAAGTGATGAAGTGAAAGTCTGTAAAAAGGAAATACAAAGAGAAATATATAACAAAATATATATCATGGTGAATGAAAATATACAAAGAAAATATAACATGGTAACATATTCCACATCTAATGGTGAGCTGGTATTATGTAAAATGAACAATATCAACTACCTCAGTTCAGTTCACATATCTTAATTCATTTTGTATTTTTCTATCATTACTCAAAAACGTGACAATGAACTCTGCTTACTGAAGGAGTGTGAAAAACTTCTCCAGTGCCTCTACACTGATTGTCGCCCACCAGGATACAAGATGCGCTTCTGGTACATGCTTAAGGGTATGTAAGAAGCACAACAGCAAATCACGCACTTCCGCTGGACTCAGTTTATCATATCTCACTGGGCCACTCTCTCCTGCAAATGCTACACTCAAGTTCCTGCAATAAGGGTATACAGTGAGTTATATTCATTTCTGCACAGGAGTAATGTTTAGTATTTGTTCTGCCATGAGCACCAACAGAACTATCCAAACGGATCCAGGTGGCTAAATTTGTGATTGGTAATTCAGTAAAGTCTTATTATCAATCAATTATAACTCACCAGACACTCAATATAAATCACACTTTTAATACACCCACCTAGAGTGAGTCCTCACATCCTCAGAGCCTTCCTCCTCCAAGTCTTCCTCAGGTAAATCCGATGCAGTGGCAGAAGGCGGGTTGTCCTCTGACTCCAGGCTTGAGCTGGACCGTCCATTGACGAGGCTCACCTGGTTGGCCACAAGCCCCCCTGGCCCAGCTATAATGGCCAGGTATGAGGGGTCTGCCCGGATGCCCAAGCTAGACACGTCAACGCGGCTTGAGCCCTTGCGTGATGGAGTGCTATAGTTGCTCATATCCACACTGCCACCACCAGATCTGCTTTAAGGGTGAGTACTTGGAGTTTCAGAATGGATTTGGAATGATAATGATAATTACAGTAATAAGACATTGGCATAATACCATGCCATTATATCTATACAGTATAATAAAGTAACCTTACTTGGTGATTCTCGTTCTAGCACTTGCTCTGGGATCCATTCTTCTCAAGGCAGAACCTGTGGAGTTGGTCGAGACATCTGGCCAACTCAGACGCTTAACATTCTCCAGCAGCACTGACACAATAGGGAAGTACAAGCTCGCAATTCTCGCCTGCTGACCCTGAATATGTGGAAAGAAAAAAATTGGTAAAAAAATAAAAAAAAAAATAAATAAATAAGTCAATAATACTGAATTACCGTGAAAGGTCAGAAAAAATAGTACTTCTATATAATGTAACATTATCTCTATCTATGCTATTCCATTACTTTACACCATCCAGGATATGAGGCTAATGTCTGCTATCAAGGGATTCATTGTCATCTTATTATACTCACTAAAAGAAAGGTCCATTCTTTTCTCTTCTTTGTTAAAGGTATATAAATACTAATCTGGAGAAAAAACAAATATATATGTCCACATTTTTATCCATACACATAACTATCATGAATCCTTTGGACAAATTTAGGAAATACTTACAGACTGTAGGTATCTATCATCAAATGCATGCTTCGCTAACAGGTCACGCAGCACACCAATGGCTACGCGCTGGACTTCTCCCACTTCACCAAGCGCAGAACGAACCTCACTCAGCAAAGCACCAACCAGGAAATGATGTGAACAGAAGTCTGTGCTGAGGTAAAACTCATCTGTACCTGTAGACAATATCAAATATCAAATATCAATATAAGTTCATAAAAAGATAAATGGCTTACATTCTTATATCGTATTCATTACAACCCATATCTTAACTGTAATGTTACACAGTAGTGTAGAAATATACTCCAAAAATAAACTAATTCCATCTTAAAAACAACAACAACTATAGATCAGTAGCAGATTCTTATTATCAAAGCATTACCTCTAGATCAACCTTTTATCAATTATTTGTCTACATCATATATTCCAGAACAATTCAAACCCACAACTATCACCTTCCAATCAACAACCTACATAGTCCTTTACCAAAGAAACTCACCATGACGTAGCTTTGCTTTCTTGGGATCAACGCTGATAGGAGTATTGAACACAGGCAGGTTCAAGGGGATGTAGTGTTCATGCGAGCACACCACACGCAACAAGGTGAACTTGTACACGTGCAGCACAATGGGGTCTCCTGGACTAAAGTGCTCGAGGTACATCTTGATCAGACTGAAAACGTAGCCTCGGTCCATCATGCTCAAGCAGCGCTATGCAGAAAAAAACAGTTCATCACAAATTAATGCCCTGAAGTCCTAATTGCTATGTTTGTGAACAGCAGTGTCCTGTATAGCCAATCTAATTCATCACAATCATGAAACACCTGTCAAAATCTGGTGGGCTTTTTTTTCCCTGTTCTTTTTCATTGTCAATGAGACTGCTGAAGTGTTCATAAATATATCTGGTCCTGTCTGGCAAGTTTCCTCTAATCATGCCCACTATATCATCTTACCCTTTGTAGGTCCTCCTTTCCCTGACCATTGATACAGGCATGCTCCTTGTCTTATTCTTCTTAAAGCATAATGAGTGCGAAGCAGTGATTCCAGTACTGTATGACTTATTTCATCCAGCTAAACCCCCATCTTTTGACTTTTCACTCCACACAATTTACTATAATCACCACCTCCAATCATTTTTTACTAAATATATCTACATGTTATTCACTGCTTCACATGATGAAAATTATGTTATACTATATGGATTTTACTTGCACGTTTAAGGTAATCTATCCCCATTTCCTTTCATGCACTAGGCAAAAATGTGATAGCTTTTTTTCATATAAGCACTGCTAATAATGCTCTATGTAATCCATACATGTAATCATACAAAACAAAATAAAGATATATGATAAGTTAAATGACACGAACAAATACTTGCCTCAATGAAGCAAACAATTAGGCCTTTTTTACAACTTATGTAAAAGATGGCTCGGAGGATTTGCAGTTCTTAAAAGTAACCCGATGGTGCCAATTACATGTATTATCCATTATAGTTTTCTTTTAAGAATTTTGCTTACACATCAGTGGTTTCACAAGCACCTAGCCATCTGGGAGTCAATTCCTTTTCTAACCTGAATTCACTGCTCTATCTTATTCTTGCATTTTCAGAAAAAAAATTCTTCCTCTCATCAATTTCACTATAAACAATGTTAGCATTACTGGTTTCACTATTGTTATCATAACATTATTAACAATAATAACAGTAATAAAAACAAAAATTAAAATTATGGTATAAGTGAATAGATGGAGTCAGATGGGACTAGTAACTGACTCCTTGGTGACTTCTCAAGCAAGCCATGTAAAAAAAAGAAAAAAGAGTGAAACGAAACCACTCTGTGTGTGTGTGGGGGGGGGGATGGTTGTTGTGGATGTGTTGTGGGTGTGGGTGTGGGTGTGGGTGTGGGTGTGGGTGTGGGTGGATGTGGATGTGTGTGATGTGGATGTGGATGTGGATGTGGATGTGGATGTGGATGTGGATGTGGATGTGGGGGTGTGGGTGTGGGTGTGTATGTGTGTGCTTTTTCATGAGCATACACATATGCATGAGCACATCTTTATATATACATGCTTGTAAAAACACACTTATAAACAACATCTATAAATGAAAAGACAATAAAAGCTAACAATATCCTTTTAAAAATAACAACTGTAAAGATGTATCCACCTCAACAAAAAAAAAAAATGTCCCACCTTCAGGAAGTGGGCCAGTGCGATGTTAGCGGCTCTGGCTTCCACCGGATTCTCCTTGTAATGCTGCACAATGTAAGTGGCCACCAGCTCAACCACTGAACGGACCTCTGCCTGGTACTCTTCACTAAACCTCTCATTGCGAACCATCTGCAGGAAATTTGAGTTTGTTCAAGGAAAGGAATTAATTTTTGGGTTAGTATCATAATTACAATAATGAGGTTTTTTAAAATGAATCAAAGTTAGGCATACCAAAACAATTTTTACCTTTTAACACATCAAAAATAGAAAACATAAAACATATAATTAAACACATCAACACATCTTTACCTTTCAGAAAAGCTATTTAATAAAAAGATTAAAAATATAAAGTTTTATGGCAAGAGAAGAATTTAAAACTCTCAAACCTTTATTCTTGCTGTGGTGAGCAAATGCAGTGCCATCGAGCGAGCGATGAAAGCAAAGAAGAACTGACTGTGCTTCAGGATTTTGTTGGTGGTCAACTGGTCCATGTTGGAAGGTTGGAGAAGCTGGGCAAGGGATCGGCACATTTCCTCGTGAATAGTTTTGCGGCCATGGGATGAAATGTTCATGACATACTGGAATATAAGAAAGAAGAAGAGTGAGATGTGAAAAGCAAAAATTAAATAATCACTGTTCATAAGATGAATTGTAATGTCTCAAACTTAGGAGGAATGACATATCTATTTCACACAATAAAAATCAAAAGAATAGGGAACCCAGATTAGCCAGGCTAAAATGTAATACTTGTGTCTTGGCAAAAGAAGAAAGAGAGAAAAAAAATCACTTTAACACCTATGATCCGGATGACATGACCACACATTGTGAAAAAATTGGCTGGAGGGGCAGGTGATGTGCACATAGTCTTGGGAAATTTTGTCTGTGGGCTGGGGTGACACAAACTTGCCACCATGAGCATTTCAGCTAAAGGCCGGGGTGACGGGCAAGACTTGCCACAAGTGCAAAAACCTCTTGGAGGGTGATCAGACTTATTTGGCATTTAGGAAGGGACTTTTGCTTTATATCCATCAATAAATGAGTGTGGAATGTAATGTCCATGAGCCATGACAGAGAGCATCAGTTCCAGAGAGGTTGCCCTTTCCATGCCCAGGATCCTAGTACTGCTTACCATGACCAGCGGTGCAGGTTGAATTACAGAAAATGGAATATTATGAAAAAAAAATTAAAAGACACAAATAATAAACTGTTACTTATTGTTATTATCATTTCACTTAGTTATAAACTACCTAGAGTGATCATATGGAGTGTGTACAAGGAAAACAGTTTATTACCATGTGGATAGAGTACATCAAATGACAAATATAGACAATGAAAAATGTCAAAAATACTATAAACACTTTTACTGAAAAAGAAAAAACAATACTGCAAAGAGGAGGCATGAAGTCTTGTCACTGCATACAAGCTTTCGTTTACTACTGGCCTACAAGCTGCACACCTGCTCACATAAGCCTAATGCTTGTATATTGGGCCACATGATGGCAGTGAAGCATCCGGATCCAATGGGTTACAGATACAAACAAAAGGCATTACTATAACATGTTCCTTCTGAACTCAAAATAGGCAATAAGGACAAATCTGAGAATGAAGAACAACATGACACAATGAGATGTTCTTCATGTGCAATAGAAAAGAAGCCTGAAAATGGGTGAAAAATCGAGAAATACTATAAATCACTTTTTTACTGAATTCTGATATTTAAAACCTCAATGTATATATAAATATAATGCTTCAGTGTCAGAATTCTATACATCATTTACCCAAACTGCCATATAAACAAAACACACTACCTTTATGTATGAATTCAGTATATCATCTCGACCAGCTTCATACACCTGGTCTATGACATGTACCAAGACTCGTGTCACATTTGTCGCAACCTCAGCACCAGCGTTCAGTAAGCATAGCCACTACTAGATGTTGGTTATAGGAGTGATAGACAGAGACAGGAGGCACTTGATTGGAAGAAGTTATGGAGGTGCTGGTCACCGCTGAGCACCGTGGAGACCAAGCGCATCGACACCTTGAACACATTTTTTCTGTCCACCAACGCACTTCTGGGCCAGCAAACTGAGGATGGAACAGTCTCTGTTAATTTTTTTTTTTTTTCTAAAGTATTCTATAACTGTCAGTGTGAATGTATATCGTATTTGGTTCTGCTGTGGGAGTGTGTGAAATCTTACCAATCAATCATATATATCTATACATTTTCAAGGACCAGTTGTGAATACTAAGTACAGGAAATGCTCTCACCCTCACAAACTTTTCATTGCCTTTGAAATCAATTTTAAGAAGCCATACAATAAAAAAATAAATATCAATAACCTTCTCTTTCCTTTCTTAAATCTTTCCCTAAACCAGAAACAAATCCATATAATTCTAAAAGGAGATATAGAGAAGCCTCACCCCTTTCCCCAAGCCAAGGGGTTCGATGGAGAGGTACTTTGGAGGCAGGTGTGCAGCGACAGGGAGTATCTGTTCATCCGTCACAATCCTGCCCTTGCATGAGAGAGGAAGCCATGAGTAGCCCACAACTGTCTCCACGGGTACGTCCTTCTTGCCCGCCTTGGCCGCCTCAATGGCCACATGCAGGAAGGTGAACAGGAGGTGGTGCTGCGAGGTGAGGTTGTGGGGCAGCTTAATCTTGACTTCATCGCCCCACTCAGGCCATGTATTGTGGTGCAGTACCACAGTGGCCATCTGTGTAGTCTGTGCCCCTGAGCCTGGCCGGCCATAGATGACACGCAGGGGGGAGGCCCCTTCTGCATCTGAGTCTCGTAATTCTACAGTGCACACCAAGTTCCGCGCTCTGTTGAAGCTCTTCTGGTTCTCATAATTTAAAAAGTGAGGGTACACATACAAGTTGTTACTGTAGTTCACATAGGGGTGGATATCATCGATGTGTCGCCCCGAGAACTCCTGCACTTCCACAGTGGGCTCATGTGTTGGAGGGTTTGGGAAAGGCTTGACAGGCTCCAGTGTGGGTGTAAGAGAATCTGAAATTGATAAAATAATGGCAGCTGAAACACTGGATAAATCCAAAATAACTGATAAAATCTATACTCCTGGATACAATTAATAGATATGTATGTATATATGTATAATTGTATGTATATGTATATATAGGTATATACAGGTATATACAGGTATATACAGGTATATACAGGTATATATATATATATATATAATATATATATATATATATATATATATATATATATATATATATATATATATATATATATATATATATATATATATATATATATATATATATATATATATATATATATATATATATATATATATAATATATATATATATTATATATATATTATATATATATATATATAATATATATATATATATATATATATATATATATATATATATATATATATATATATATATATTTATATATATATATATATATATATATATATATATATATATATATATATATATATATATATATATACATAAGTATAACAATAATAATTCTACTTAGCATATGAATCTATCCATTTTTTCTTCTCTTCTTAATAAAAATCAGTACACAGTAAGTCATACTTCACAGCATCTATGTGAAATCTATGTGGAATGAAGAGATAAACCACTGCCCTGTGATGCAAGAAAGTGCCTCACCTGTAAACCACCTTTTAATCATTAAGTCAGGTGAGTCAGCTATTGACTGACCATGAGTGTTGCATTTGCAAACACCAGCAAGGGAAGAATAATTTGTAAAACAAAGTTAATGAAAATGTTAGCTTCTTAAACAATTTGATAAATATGTTGGGTGAGAGGCAGACAGATAATTCATATATAATTATACATTATCTGAGGCCCAAAGCATAACCACACCTTCTCTGGTCCCTTTGACATCACTGAATATCTATGAAGGTTCTTTTGTTTACCCAAGTGACTGACATCAGGTGAAGACTAAGGTTGGGGTTTCAATAAATGTGATGAAAGTGACTACATATTTCCTAATCCCTTTTTCTCAAATCTTTAGAGATATGTGATGATGTAGCAATGGCATCACACACATGGAGCATCAAACTGAATGATATAATAAAATGTATAGCTTTTGGTACATGCATATAGGGAAGCTGTTATTAATATGGTGAAAGAAAATACACGATTATGTATCCTCACCAACATGTTGATGTGAATGGGAGAAAAAAAAGTCATGCACATGAATGCAATCTCCTTTTGGAAAGATCAACTTTCTTATCCACAAGTTGGAAGGATACAAGCTTAATTACCCTGAAAATGATGCAGAAACAAGCTCCAGTTCCTTAGAATTTTTGTACCAGCTCTTTTTTTTGTATTATGCATTTATTCTGCTGCGCAAATTAATTTAAAATGAACAACACAATGACAGCATGAAAGTGGGTGTTTCCATCTCTGCAATTCTAACAGTATTGGGACAATATTTAGTGTTCACGTGTTTAATGGAGCAGTTACAGAAACTTGTTCTCAAAATAATTCTTTTAAAAATTATTGTTGCCAGGAATGCATATACAAACACACAGTCCCTTGCTTGCTTTATCCATTTTGTTCATGCACAGATGGATCTAGAGTCAAAGAGTCAATTATCATGCCTAACAGACTTCCTTGGTTAGCCCATTCCTGGAAATTTCGGAAAGGTTTTCGTTTCTATTACTATTATCATTCTCCATAAAGCTTTAACAACAATGATGATATCAATAATGAACTTGGCAATAACAGTAATAGATTCTTCTTTTTTTTCTTACAAAAAATCAAGATGAGAAACAGGTAAGATCAGTAGGCCTAGATATTGACTATGATGACTTAGTAATTGTAAACACATCTGTGTACAAACTAAATTAATAAAACCAAAAACAGTATGGACAGTTTATGTATCCAGTGCCAGTGGGCCATGCCTTGCGACAGTGATCAGAGTTAAGGCAGATTGCACACAGTTTTTACAGAGGCAAAACAATCGTAAACCAACTTTGTGCATATTTCTTGTTTTCAAAATCAGTCAAAAGAATTAATCTTATTTTTTCTACAGATCTTTTCCATGACTTATCTAAAATTCACATTCAGACTCATTCATCTTTATTTTGACAGCTGCAGATATAAACTATATACTTTCATAATGAAAATAAATGTATAAATACATAAATACATATATACATACAAATATACATATTCACTTATACATACATACATACATACATACATACATACATACATACATACATACATACATACATACACACATATATATATACATACATACATACATACACACAGGTTGGAGTATAAAAATATGTATAAATTTTTAAGTTTAGATGTTGGACAATCTACTGCTTCTACCACACTAGGGCACAAACACACACACACATGCATTTTCACAGTATAAAAATGCACACAGGTAAGCATACCCCCTCCATACACACACACTTCTGTAAAATATGCACATAAGACTGACCAATGAGAAGAAAAACTATGTACGAGTTGCTTTCAGTTCCTCAGACTAAAGATATTTTCAAAACTCACATGACTTATCATGAAAGCATCCCTTGTCAAGGTTAAAATACTGTGTATATAAAGTAGAAAGAAATATAAATTAGACAATGCTTCATTTTTAATCTAGAAGCATTTGGCATAAGTATTTTTGTAAGTATAAATTCCATTTCTGGCTTCTACTATCTGTACTTCCTTTGCCTGCCTCATGAGTTCTATGCACACAATAACAGTTTGGAAAAAATAATAAAAATAAAGAATATCTAGCTATGTGCTACAAGGTCTCAACCACATTTAAAACTAAAGTTAGAATCATAATTTATTAGAATAATTGTTAGAATCATATCAAAATTTAGTTATCACTAAATTCACAGTTAAAATTGCTGTTTGTGAAAATCACAAAAGAACTGCAGTTTACTATAACCAAATTACATCTGTGGTTTATTAGGATCACAGTTAAAATCACAGCATACTTGTGAAATCTACTCACTTGGCAGTGTGACCTCCATGGGCAGGATCTTGACATTGATGCTTCCTGGTACGATGGTCAGTTTATTCATCTTTTCTGGTTTGCGATAATCAGCTAACATTTTCACAAATTCTGTCTCACCGAGCCTCTTTTCCTCACAGCGGTAGATTGCCGGGAACTCAGACTCAGTGTCAAGGCTTCCATTGTGCTTGAATAGTGGCCTTGCAGACCAGGCAAAGGGCATACGATACTCCCCTAGCCTAAGAAAGGGAATTATGTTCATGTCTACAGAAAAAATGATTGGAAAAAATTATGTTTAAACTTTAGGTTGTTCACTGTGAATGCTTTTATCTAAATTCTAATATTCATAACAGTCAAGATTGTCTTTCATAAAAAGCAGCTTTTGGATGTTAAAATTCTTTACTTCCTATGCTTGAATAGCAAAATGAGCACACATTTTCCAGCTTTAAATATATGAGAAAGACAAACCGGGTTTGTTATTTTGTACTGTCCATCCTCTCACCTGGACTATTGATGTTCTTGAGAATACTAGTAATAAACTTTATATTATTTTGTATTGTCCAAGAAGGGCCTGATTGTGTAATCTTGTTTCAAATTGAAGCAAATGAATTCAACTGTCAAGACCAAATAAATAGTTTGATTTTGAATATGAATGACTCTTAAGACACAGAAAACAGAGAAAACAATGACTCAACCTTTTTCATAAAAAAAAAAATGTTTTCCAAAAATTTAATGGGAATGACATATAAAACAAACCTAACCCGTTATTGACAGAATATATCTATTCTTGCCACAATGAGCCAAATCCAAATGCCGATTGGTAAAGATACACACCATGGGCAGTCAGCCAGCTCCAGCTTGTGCTCTAAGCAAATGTTTGCATGTTTGGCTCTGGGTGCCACAGTTCAGGAGCCACAGCCCCTCAAATGTGGGGTTCAGGCTTTGTGTTTAGAAAATTGTAGATGCTGTAGCCAAGCACTAATAGAGCAGGGTACATATGTGCTCCCCAAGCTTCTAATTCCATGCATGAGTGGCTGACTACAAGCAAACCCCAGTGCATAGTTCAGTTTAGCAGGAGGGGTTAAAATACATATTCTGACATACACTTCCAAAAAATGAATAAATAAAAAAGATAAATAAAATACAAAGTCTGACCTCTGGCAGCATGTCTTGATGACTCTCTGTAGCTTCTGAATGCCCTTGGAATCAACACTCTTTAGGTATGGCTCCACAGATTGGCTGATGGAACCCTGCAACACTTTCTCAATCTTTACTACCAGAAATACATCGCTGTGTGGTCTCAGCACACTCATCACAGACTGCAAGAAATGGAAAGATATTTGTCTGAATATATTTTTTATATTTGTGAAATTTTTTCTCTTCTGTGTTGTACTTATTTCTCCCTCCACCACACATATAAAATTGTTGTTTGTATTATCAAAAAAAAAAAAAAAAAAAAAAAAAAAAAAAAAAAAAAAAAAAATATATATATATATATATATATATATATATATATATATATATATATATATATATGGCAAAAAATATTAAAGAGAATAAAGCCACTTTAATCATGGGCATTTTATGTATGTAGTTAATCTATGCCTATCATGAAAACCTGTTCTTTTTATCAAATAGCATCAACAAAACAAATTCAACAATTTCCTTCCTCTAGAGGTTTCCAAACAACAATCACTGAGGATCCCTTGAACAGTAAGAAAAAAAGAAAATTTACCCCTCCCGACATTTCTCACCAACAGAACCAACTCGGGCCAATAAGACATTTCCAACCTGTTTGGGATGTGCAATCCACTCTTCAGGAACACCAGCAAGGGAAAGGGGGAAGGTCCCGGCCCCTTCTTTGGCCTCGTCGCCCTTCTTCTTGGGTTTGGGTAGGAGGTTGCGCACCATGGGATTGTTCAGGTCAAAGTGGAAGTCTTCGGAGATCTTGCAGCCCTGACTCACATCATAGATGGCAGCATAGGTCATGTATGGCTCCAGCTGGAATGTATAGTGAGGATTGTGATAAAGGTGGTGGTGATGCTCCTTACTGGGACAGTTATGATAGTAAATGAAGAAAAAATGATCATGATTCTAATCATGATACTGGTAGTATATAATAAAAATAAAAATGATAGTAATGTCTGAAAGTTGGACTCAAGATGAACAGGAAAAATACTTAGGTCATATTCAACAGCAGACTTCAGTTCACAAAGATACATGTACAAAGCAAAGTGCTCGAGGTAGTGGAATAATATATATATCTAGGGTAGCTCATACAGACAAACACATTCAGTGGAGAGGAAATATAGCGACACAGTAGTCTAGGCTAGAGAGAGCCTCTGGCAGACTAAGAGGTTTCTTGACATTATGTTTAAAAAGAAAAGTCTTTAACCAATGCGTCCTCCCAGACATATGGATCAGATATATGGACTAAGACCAGTAAGTGCCCAGAGAGAAATGGAAAGGCTGATGCTGGGAATTAGTCTGTAAGATCTTTTTAAATTCATAAAACATATATAAAAAAGACTTTCAGTAAAAGATGTATTGAAATTACACCACCAGTTCATGTGACAACACGCAACCTCTAAAACAATCTCTGACCCTGGCTCACCTGTGACAGAGGACCATCCCCTGAGTCCAGTGGTGCTTGCAACTTGAATCTTATGCTCTCAAAATGCACTCGAAATCGCGTCCCAAACTCTTCTTTGTAGGGCCAAATTAGCGTCTCATCTCTGAGTTCCACACTGCCACTTTCACTTTCCGTGCGCTGTGTGTAAGCAGAAGAAAAGATGAGTGCTTTCAATGCACTAAATTCAAAATCAAATAAAAATATGCTTTCCCTGTACAAAGTATCTATAAAAATTAACAGGAAGTAAAGGATATTTTCTTCTTATACTTAAAACATCAATTTCTCTTCATTACAAAAATTTATAGTGCTATCCACAAGAATTATAACTTACTGGAAGGTTGTGATAGCAGGTGAAGAGCTGATGTCTGTCTTCCCTACGAGCCTGCGCTATAGAGAAGTCTGTCTCATGGGCATATTTGATCAACTGGGGATTCAGGCTGTGCTCTAGGCCCCGAAGAGTCCCATAGTTAGACAGAGGAGGAGTCGAACCTGAAAAATAGTTTATAGAATTACATAGAAGTACAGGTGGTGATTATTTGAGGCCTTTTAAAAATAAAGATATCCTTTTCATAGACTTTAATATGTATTCCTAATAAATACAAGGAAAGCACAAGAATAGGAAAAAGAATAGAAATTCACATATACACTGATTATACAGCCTTCTTCAAGCAATGAAAAAAAAATACTCCGTACTATCAACTCACACAAATCTTTATTGCATGCACACACACATAACTATATACACACCTCTCTCAATTCTAGATTCATCCTGAGGTTTATCTGCATGAATTACACGTGTAAGTTTGTCCATCCAGTCCTCCAGGTCAGCCTCACTCTCGGCCGAAAGTAAGATGGACTTCCCTCCCTCACACATCTGGAGCTCAAAGCAGCATTTTCCTCGTCTGGGATTCTGTATGGGAGGAGTGATT